CGTCCTTGGCCTCTGGCTGGTTGGAGATGGTGACCCCCTAGGACCTTCTAGGGCCTAGCTGACCCGGGTCTGGGTACTAGATGTCAGGGGGTCGGGATGCGCAGACATTCTTTCACGACTTCACAGGGTTCTCTGGGGTTCACACACACAGCTCCAGATGCGCAGCTGAGAAATCAAGTCCCGTTTCCCAGGCCAGTTAAAGCAAGAATGGGATCATTTCCTCACGGCTCACCTACCTGATTTTAGCGACTCTAGGCCAGTTCCTCAGCCGTCACACAGCGGGTGGAGGCAGAAGCTCCAAACACAGGCGCTGGCCCTGATGCTCCGGTCAGGCTCCCTGCGAACGGGGGCCGGGGAAGGACCCGTCCGCTGCCCACACGACCTGTGGGCCTTCAAGTCACCTGCTCTCCCGCTCTACCTGCGACCCCGACACAGCGAGGCCACACGAAGGCTGCCACCCTTGGGCTCAGAGACATCCAGAAAGCTGCTGGGCACGCTCAGTCTCTCGCTGGGTCTTGGGGCGGGGCCAGAACCCTGTCACTCCGCTGGCAGGGCTGTACCCCGATCCCCATGGAGGGTTCAGCCCGCTGGCCTCTGCCCGCATCAATACTTTAAGGCTCAGACTGAGGGGGGGGCCTGGGCCGGGGTGCAGCCTGGAGGGACGGCGAGCTGCTCCGGCAGCTCCCTCCTTAGCCTCCTGGGCCGAGCCCTGAGCCTCCTGGGCCGAAGGGGCTTTTGGTGCAGAAGGACGAGGCTCCCCAGCCAGAGTGGGGAGCCCTGCTGGGCCCGGGTCCTGCCCTCACCAGCTGCCTGCTTTGGACAAATGGCTGCAGCCCTCTCGCCTGATGGTGCATGCTGATCACACTCAGCTCACTCCCGCCAGGAACGTGCAAAGATGCTGGATGTGGCTAAAGGGCTGGCACAGCGCGTGACAAGCGGTCCCTCCATTTGGGGTTGGCAGGCTCACAAAGCCCTCCTTCGGACAGGCCTTGCCACTGGAGTTAGTGGCAGGGCTGGGGCCACGGGTGGCCCCCTCTCTCCCCCGGTGGAGGCCCTCAGGCCGGAGCAAAGGAAGCATTCTGCAGGAACGCTAGGGACTGGAGAGGGACTTCCCTTCCCCTCCTCCCCCGTTCCTGAGGCTCACCCCCACACCGCGTCTGCTCAGATTTCAGCTCAGAGAGCTTCTGGAAACTTTTTCTTATGTCCTAGAAGAAAAGCTTTGTCCCGGACACCCTCTCCCCTGTACGGTACCCGCCATAACAAATTTCTCTCCGAGTCTGGTCCACTTCCTCCCAATGTCAACATTCTACTGATCAGAACGTATGTTCCAGTCTGACTTACTTTCTTACACAACATTGCGTCCCCAGGCTGAGTTGCTACAAGTGTGTGCATTATTCATCACCAAATGCCAGCCACTGGCAGGTGCTGTGCCATGAGCCACCACATAACAGCCATACGGGTGCTTCCTGCAGGCATGGCACACACCCTCACCCGCCCCTCACCACAGCCCTGTGCCCGGGGGACTGTACCCCTATTTTACAGCTCAGCAAGCTGAGGCTCAGCCCAAAGCCATGCATTCGGCAAGTATTTCTGAGTGCCTACCAATACCAGGCCTCCTGGGCATTGTGGTAGAGAACAAGATAGGCCAAGTCCCAGGCTCCTGGAGGCTCCAATCTCTGGGAAGGAGACAGACAATACACAATAAACAAACCAAGGGGGGTGAGGGGAGAGGAAGAGGGGGGCAGAGAGTGTGTGTGAGCGCGCACAGGGGGAATCAGTGTTACTATTCCAGAAAAGGAACACGCAGGGGCCAGAATGGTGTGGGACTACGAATTCACTGGATCCTCCGCACACAGGGGCTGAGCCTGGATGGCTCCAGCACCCAGGGACTCCTCGGCTTGTAAAGGACTGGTGGAGGCTTTTTCTGGGCAGACTTTTTGCACGCCCGGAGGGGAGAGATGGAGTGGCTTCTTTGCACGCCCGGAGGGGAGAGGTGGAGTGTGGTCCCAGCAAAGGGAATGTCCATGGTGAAATGACCGGAGAGCCAGTTCCCGGAGGTGGGTATCGATTCAGCGGCTTGGTCAAGCCGAAAAGCCACCAAGTCCTAGCCGGGCAGGTGGAGGCGGGTAGTCCACCCAGGCCCAGAGCTTCCTCGGCAAAGGCCCATCTTCACCTTCACCAGCCCTGTCCGCCGTCCTCATGCGCCAGGACCACACACCTGTGGATGTCAGAGCAGTTTTCTCTCCCAGATCCCTCAGGCACCCATCACCACCGGAGCACACCACTCGTTTCCTCCGTGTTATCGTGCTGCCTGCATAACTTCTCTCTGCTGTAAATGTTAACCATCCTGTAGCTATCTGTGTGAAAGAAGTACGGGGCCCTCCATTTTGCCTTCTATCCAACCCAAGAGATATCTCTGCTTCCTCCCACGCCCTCCACCTACCACCGATGGCTTTCTTGTGACCCTCCTTAAGTTTTCTTTGATTCTAATGTATAACATGAGCTGCAAAACTGCCCTTCTCGGGAGCATCTTTTCAATCCAATTCATTGAGATCTTGTTTGGGGCATGTCTCAAACAAATGACTGGTTTTTAATGAGAGAGAGGACAAGAGCAAGAGAGACAATCTTGCTGTTCCTCTTCTTTACGCATTCACTGGTTGATTCTTGCATGTGCCCGGCTGGTGACTGGACCTACAACCTTGGCTTAGGCGGGACCATGCTCTAACCATCTGACATGCCCGGCCAGGGCGAGTTCTCAGCTTTCCATAGGTTTGGGTGTTCTTTTGTGGGCAGGGCTGCCGAGGGTTATGGCTGGCACTCGAGAAATATGTGGAAAATGCGTCCTTCCTACCAGCTTCACCCTGGCCACGCTGACCTTCTGCCTGGTACACCAACATGATGGGCTCGCACTGAAGGTGTTTCCCATCCTCCAATCGGAGATGGCAGGAGCGGGCTTTTTGCTTCCGAGGGCCATTTTCTTGGGAGGAAGTCTTGAGAACGGGGTTGCTAGCTTGAGTCCTGCGTATTTATCCTAGCCTTTTGGAAAAACAGTGCGTGTCCGGCACCTTCCTGAGGCCCGTGTCCCAGGCCTGGCGCTCAGTGCACACCCTCAGAGGATGCAGCTGTAAACAGCAGGCGCTCCGGAATGCCTGCTGGATTCCTCCTCAGCCTTCCAACCCTCTCAAGCACCCCCCACTTCCACAGGCGGAATCGCTCCTTTTTCACGTGAAACCCATTATTTTAGCATTCCTCTAAGCCCAGCGGCTTCAGTCCCAGGATCGGGGTTTTGCCCAGCACCACGGGTGGGCGCTGGCTCCAGGCTGGCTATCCAGAAGGAAGTTTCGTATCCCCGTGGAAGCAAAGCGCTTCCCAGACAGAGCCAGGACACTGCCTCGCCCTCCCCGAGCCCAGGACTTTGGCCAAGGCTCTCAGCCTCCGAGTCTCAGCATCTATGAATCGGAATGGAAGCAACTGCAGATAAAACTTTTCCGACATCTTTAATGAGGTGACCCTCTCACTCCCACAGGGAATTGCAGCCCATAAAGGCGCCGGAATAGGCTCTAACAGCCCAAACCGGCAGACGCCAGAACGAGTTATTGCCCATGAGAGGCCCAGCCCGTACTGCTGGTGTCCCTGCCTCCTGCCCAGATGTCTGGCATTCCTCTGCGATGACCAGGCGTGTGCCAGGGCACAATGGGAGGGCGGGCAGTGCAGGCCCCACCTCCCTGCAGGCTGGTATTTTTAGACAACGTCCTTGGCCACCTTATCTAAATGGCCAGGCTGGAGACCTTGATTTCTCAGCTTCCCAAACATCCAGTGGGGCTCCCGACCACACCTCCCTCCTCCACCCCGGGTGCTCCCGGCTCCATAGGGTGCACCCTCCGAGTCTCCCTCCGCAGCTGTCCGGCTAAAAGCCCCCTTTCGTCCTAACCCTTCCTCTCAGGGAGACCATTTTTCTTGTGCCGAGCTCAGCCAGTGAACACTGTGAGGAGAGGTTTCTGCCGGAGCGGACGGCACATTCCTGCAAAGCAGCCATTTCCTGTGCGTCAGGTGCCGAGTTTCCCCCGGCAGCCGGGGAAGCATCGTGTCCGGCTCACATCCCGTAAGGCGGAACCTGCAATGTCTATTCTTGTCTGCACCCCAAAGAGCAGTGAGGGGGCGGGGGCGGGGGCGGCCCCCGGGCGGGCGGGGGCCCTCGCTCCCCACCGGGCAAAGGTGCGTTCGTCACGGTCACGCGCGGCCCCGGCGGGGTGGGCGGGGCGGCGGCCACAAAGCGGGCCCCGTGGCGCTCACCTTTGGCCGGAGCTCCGGAGCGGAGGGACCCGCTGCGGCGCCCCCCGCCCGCCCGGAGCCCGCAGGCCGCGGCCTCAGCGCCGCAGACGGGAAACCGAGGCTCGGGCGGCCTCCGGGGCCGGGCCCGCGGTGCGGCCTGGAGCCCGTCCCTTCCCCCCTCTCGGGCCTCGGTTTCCGATCTCGGGACAATCCTTGCTCCGGCTCCGGCTCCGGCTCGGAAGGGGCGTGGCCGCCGTCCGGGAATATTTTACAAAATCAAACACCCGGAGCCGCAGACCTGGCGCCGCGTCCCAAGGTCACGCGGAAAGAGGAGCCAGGCGCCGGGCATGAGCTTCCACGGCCCCCCGCCCGCGGCCCCCGCCCCTCAGGTCCTGGGGGTCCGAGAGGGTCCCAGGGACCTTCCGGCCCCCAAATCCAAGCCCCGAGCCCGCCCCCGAGTCCGGCGGCCGCCCCGCCCCCGCCCCGGCCCTCCCTCCGGCGCCCGGCGCCCCGCTCGCCCCTCTCCATCCCCGCGAACCCCGCCGCCGCCCCACGCCCCGCCCCTCGCGCCGGCCCCGCCCCCTGCGGCCGAGGCGCCCCTGGCGGGGGCGACGCCGCAGCCAATGGGGAGGCGGCGTGCCCAGGGCGTTGGCGGTTGTGACGCGCCGGGCGTCGGGCGGCGGCCAATCAGCGGCGAGCGCGAGGGCGGGCTGTGACGCCGGCGGCGCTCCTCGTGCGGCGGCCGCGCTATAGGAGCGAGCGCCGCGGACCGCAGGGCCAGCCGAACGCCGCCGCCGCCGCCGCCGCCACACGCCTCCCGCCGCCGCCGCCCGCCGCCGCCGCCCGCCTCCCGCAGCCTCCGCGCCGCCGCCGCCGCCGCCCAGCGAGCCCAGCCCGGCGCCCCAACCGCCGCCGCCCCTGGCCGGCCCGTCTGCGCGCGGGCGAGCGGCCGCCGCCCCCGGCCGGACCCTGAACCTCGCCTTCTCGCGCCTCGGCCGCCCGCGCCTCCTCGGCTGCCTGCCCGGCATGAAGACCAAGTTCTGCAACGGGGGCGAGGCGGAGCCCTCGCCGCTCGGGCTGCTGCTGAGCTGCGGCAGCGGCAGCGCGACGCCGGCGCCGGGCGTGGGGCAGCAGCGCGACGCCGCCAGCGACCTGGACTCCAAGCAGCTGGGCGGCCGGCAGCCCCCGGCGCTGCCCCCGCCGCCGCCGCCGCCCGCCGACGAGCAGCCGGAGCCGCGGACGCGCCGCAGGGCCTACCTGTGGTGCAAGGAGTTCCTGCCCGGCGCCTGGCGCGGCCTCCGCGAGGACCAGTTTCTCATCAGCATCATCAGGTCGGTGCGGGCGGGGGCGCGCCGCGGCCGGTCAGGTGACGCCGCCGGCGGGGGGGGGGGGGGCGCGGGCCGGGAGGGCCACCTTCCGGACGCCGGCGGGTCCGAGCCAAATCTCGCGAAACAGGCCCCGCGGCCGCCCAGGACCTTCCAAGAGGCAGGCTTTTGAGAAAGAAAAAAAAAGTGTGGTTTTTGTTTTTTCCTTCTTCTGTTTCGTGGGAAAGCCGGTCTCTTCCGAGGAGAACAATACCGCGCGATCACAAAGTAGTACATTTCGTTCAGAAGCTCCAACTGTGTCTAGAAAGTTCCTTCGCGGTTTAGGGCCTGAAATGAAGGAGGGATGATAAGACTGGCCTTAAAAAAAAAAATAAAAGATCACTTGGTAACTTTCGCTTCCAGTTCCTTGAGTCTACGATTGGATTTTTTTCTCTCTTTGGATGAGTCATTTATTAGGGTTGCTCATACCCCCAACACGGTTCACACCAAAGTTAGGAGTGTGGCTCGGAACTCCCCGGGGCTGAAGAAGGAGGAATCTCCTCCCGACCCCCGTTATTTTACGGTTAAACGTTTTCAAATTTAAATTTAATCAGAAACGTCTAAGTGTGCATGTTCACACGTAACAGGAAAACATAAGACCCCCTTGATGTTTGTCTCCCACGGGATCCCCGTTTAACATGTTAGTGTGCATCCTTCTGTTTACACGGATGCCTTTTTCCTGCGAATTTTCCCTCACACGGCTGACCAGGTGGAGGGCAGTGTCCAGCAGCTGGCTGGCTGCCACCAATAATCCCCAAATCCAATTTTAGTCATTTGACTCCTTTTCTGTGCCCAGTCCTCCACCGGCGCTGCCAATGCAGCAAAATGGACGGAGCTCCGCTTCCTTTCTGTGCCCTGGCCTCGCTCGCAGTGAGTCAAAGGGCAGAGAAAAAACCAGAAGGTGTTGAGGCAGTAATCCCCGAGTTGAGTTTTTCATTTCACTTCCCACTTGTTCAGGGCTGGTGTGTATAGAGAAACGCGATTGACTTTTGTCTGTTAAGTTTTTTATATTATAACCCTGCTCGGTGGCTTCTCCGTTCCAGGAGGGTTTGTCTGTTTCTTTTCCAGTTCAGTCCCTTGGATTGTCCGGCTCTGCCTGCTGCCCATGTTCTCCTTCCTGGTTCCTCCACCGCTGGCAGCACAGCACGGCCCCTCCTCTTCCCCCTGAGAGAATTATTGGGCCCCAAATGTCAGCAGCACTGAGGTGGAGCAGCCTTGGAATGGAGGACTGAAGATTGAGCTTTCCTCTGGCATTCATCTGGCCACACTCCTAAAGAGTAATCTTTGCTTTGTGGTTGGTGCTAATAATGAGCAGCTGACATTATCTTGTAATCTTCACATAAATCCCTGTTAATGCCTCATGTTATGCTGAGAAAGCAGGATTGGAGGCACTGAGTAACTTGCCCAGAGAGCCAGCAAAGGCCCGCTTTTTGTTTATTAAGTATGTTTTTAATTGATTTCAGAGAGAGGGAGAGACACCAGTGATGAGAGAGAATCACGTATCAGCTGCCTCCTGCACGTCCCCCCACGGACAGCTGCGTCCTGTGCATGTGCTGTCTGGGAACTGAACCTGACCTCCTGATTCTTAAGTCAATACTCAGCCCCTGAGAACACCAGCTGGACAAGGCCTGTGCGGGTAACTCAGTCTCCAGGCTTGGGGTTAAGGCACCTATTCCTGATTACCCCTATTGATGCTGTCATTTAATTGAAGTATTTATTTTACCTGAGCTGTGGTTGTTTCAAATTGAGTTTTAGATGACTAGAAGATACTTTCCAAAAATCCTAAAGTTTTTTTCATTTGCAACCTAAATTCAGTAACTGTTTGGTGTTATGTTTCCTTCTATTTTCTGTATATCTGGTCCTTTGGACTTGAGGATTGTTTTTCTGCTGAGACACTATGTTGTGAATTTTTAAAAAATACGTATTTTCATTTCAGAGAGGAAGGGAGAGGGAGAGAGAAAGAGAGAGACATCAGTGATGATAGAGAATCATTGACTGGCTGTCTCCTGCATGGCCCTTACCATGCATTGAGCCCACAACTGGGGCATGTACCCTGACCAGGAATTGAACTGTGACCTGGTTCATAGGTTGATACTCAACCACTGAGCCACACCAGCAGGCTCTTGGTCATTTTGACTTTTAGACGATGGTCTTGAAACCCCTGGGTCCAGGCCCTAACCTCTAGGGAGACTTAGTATGTGTGCGGGACTTGATGCCTGTGACTTAGTGTACAGTTTGCAGGGGTTTCGATGCCATTTTTGTTTTCCAGCAAATACAGCTGGTTAGGTGCAAACCAGATAACTTAGCAGAAGAAAATCTTTGTTAAAGGTGTCTTTGGAACGGGTGGTTTCTTGGATTTGCCATTGAGCATTGAGTTGTCTCAGCCAGATACGAATTCTTCCCCAGATGATTGAAATATGTGTAGACTTGTTTTGTTAAAAAAAAAAAAAATATATATATATATATATATATATATATATATATATATGTATATATATATATATGTATATATTATTGATTTCGAGAGAGAAACATCAATGATGAGAGAATCATTGATTTTCTGCCTCCTGCAGGCCGCTTGGTGATCAAGCCTGCAATCCAGTCATGTGCTCTAACCGGAATCAAACCAGACATTGAACTGTGACATCCTGGTTCATAGGTCAATGCTCAATCACTTAGCCACAGTGGCGAGGCAGAATATATCTAGATGTTTTTGATGGATGATTGGATAAGCAGAGGTGATATTTACATACAGTGGGATATTATTCAGCCTTAAAAGAGGATATTCTGATACCTGCTACAACATAGATGAACCTTAAGGACATTATGCTAAGCAAAATAAGCCAGACCCAGAAGGACAAATATTGTATTGACTTCTGTGAGGCCGGCAGAATAGTCAGAGAAACGGAAACAAAGGAGACTTGATTCTAAAGGCTGGGGAGAGGGAGAAAAGGGAATTCATGTTAAATGGATACAGCCTTTTCGTTTTACATGATAAAGCATTCTGGAGATGGGTGGTTAGGATAGTTGTACAGAAATGTGAATATATAACTGTACACTTAAACATGGGTAAGAAGGTAAATTGTATGTTTCTCGTATACTTGGAGACACTTTTTGTGAGATTAAGTTGCAAACGTTGAAGCCTGTCCCAGAGGTAAATACATACACGAGCTTGCCCTGCACCGTGCCTAGAACTGTAGATCCTGCCCTGTACTCTGCCTGCCCACTGTGGTCCACGCCTGTTTCCTTTCGAAGCTGGCTGCCTGAGCCCAGAGGGCGACGTTCACAGTGCTGATGGTTCAAGGGGGTCACATGATACAGCTGGACTAATCACATCTACTAGAATATTCCTCTTTTCTTGGGACTGAAAGGTTTTGATGACATCGTTGTCTTAGATTTGGCTTCCTTTTACAGGTGGACATATGGAGTATAGTTACAGTCCATGTGAACTTTCCACAGCAGCCGAAGTTAGCAGTTTTCATAGCCCACACCGATGGCAGCGGTGTTTCGGTAGGATGGTATAGTCTGTAGGGACTGGTGAAGAGACCTGTGCTTGCTTGGTTTGTGCTGTAGAACCACAGTGACCTCTTGCCCCGAGCATTCTGGCTGGTCAGGGCATGCTGAGTTCCAGGCTGCGCTGTGGTGCTCCGTCGGAGGGACTGAGCATAGAAGGGGGAGGAGGCCGGATCGTATTGTACGGTCACAGCGCTTCCTTTGCTCCTCACGTTACACCGGGCTTCTATTATCTGTTCAAGGGGGAGCATTCCTTCCACCTGCCGCCTCCCAGGTGAAACGCAGCTGTGCCTTTTGGGCAGCAGACAGGCCTCTGAAATGAAGGCCATTTCCTCTCTTGCCTCATAGGGGGAAAAGTCTAGTTCACTTCTTGAAAAGTCCACCAGTTGCCATTAAGTTTTGAAATCAGTTGTGCTGTGTTAAACTGTTTGGCTTGCAGTGACCTAGTAGCAAATTAAGAGGAACTTGATTAAATTTTAATCTTGCCTTATTGGGGGGTTTTGCGGGTTTGCCCTGGTGTAGGTAACGTTAGTTTTCCCCGAGGCTTTCCCGAGACCAGGCAGCCACTAAGATGGTGGACTTGGGAAGGCTTGTGCTGTAGGTTCTGGATCAGGGGCTAGCAGAGAGAAAGACAGTGGGGAAGAAAACAAAGTCTGCCAAGTCCAGAACTTTCCCTGAAGTTGAAGGATGGAAAGTCACCGAGAAACAGATTTGTGCTTATGAATTTTTGCTATGAATGAAAAACATGTTGGCTTCTTAAAGGGCTAGCTCAGGAAATTCGGGGAGAGGAGGCCCAGACGGAAATTTGCAGGCAGGTTTCAATGAACTTTTCAATGAAATTTTCCTTATTCTGATTTCTTTTTTAAATCCTCATCCCAGGACTAGTTCATTGATGTTTAGAGAGAGGAAGTGGGAGGGGAAAGAGGAAGGAAGGAGTTGTGGGGGAAGACACAGACCGGAGATTGAACTTGCAACCTTTTAGCAAATGGAATGATGCTCCAACTGAGCACCCAGCCAGGGTGTAAGTTAACTCTTGATTAGCTGGATATAAAGAGAAGGTGAAATGCTTATTTTTATGTCTGATTAGTAATGTATAAAAGAGGTGGGGTGAGATTGGTGACCACACTCAGCGAGGTCCAGGGATGCCTATTAGAATTCCCAGCTCTTCGGTTTCCAACATGTGTCACTGACACGTGTTGAATGTGAAATGAATGTTATTTTTCATTTTATTTGCTTCATGAGTATGTTGTGCCTCCTAAATTTAATTATGACATATCTGTTTATTATAAAGCTGTCCCAGCCAGATGATAAAGTTTGTAGTTTGAGTTCACAATTCTTTGAAATCTGAGAGTTCCAGGGCCAGATATATAGTATGTTTTTTTCTTCTTCAAATTGATTTTAGAGGGAGAGAGGGAGAAACATTGATTTATTGATGCATTGATTAGTTGATTCCT